TTCATATTTTATATAATTAGAAAATCTATATACATTAGAAATAGATTTTCAAAACATTTTCCTTTATTCCTGTTAAAGGGTTAACTATGGCCCTTTTTGTCAAACTTCTGACAAGAACGTTCAAAAGTTTATGATAAACAACACATTTTTGCTTGTATATATTGTATGTTACGACGGGAATATTGACTTCAACTGAATTATATATTTTTTCGATAGCGCATAAGAATATGTTTTATGCAGACACCACTTTTACAGTAGAAAAGCATTTTTCATGCATAATTAAAACATATATATTTTCATAATCACTTTGCAAATATTCGATTATTCGTAATTATTTGTCGGCCATTATCGGATTCTGAAGTAAACAATATGGATTTCAATGTATGGTACAACGGTATATGTATAAAGTGAAATTACAAGTAGAATTAGCAGCATACATTTATCACTTGCCTTACAACCTTGATTGCAAGGCGTTAGATTTTCATATAGTTAACAAAAAATTATTTATGAAAATTACAAAAAAGATTTGTCCAAGATTCGAACTTGTGCCTACTAGGTCACAACTTCATCACCCTTGGCGTTAGGCCATCGAGCAGTATTAATTGATTTAATATCGAAATAAATGCTTTAGATAAAATCTTTAACATTAATCAGAAAAAGTTAAGGAACTAACGAAACACGATAACACCTCCCGAAAATGGATGAGTCTCAGGTCAATATTGCCAAAAAATGTTTTTTTATTTAATCATGATAACTGTTTTTACAGTGTCTTTACAATATTGTAAAGCAAGTTTCCTTCAAATGGGATGTTTTATTTTGAATAACATATTGTTCCATTTTTAAACTGTTTCTTATATTTATGATAATACATCATTTCTTTTCCGGCAACTTGGTGCTTATGCATCAAAACTTCTACTTGTTTTTTTGTATGCACATCAATATAACTATGAAAATAACTGTGTATAATAGTGCATTTTTATACGCCCGTTTGAAAAACGGGACGTATTATGGGAACGCCCCTGGCGGGCGGGCGGGCGTCGTCCAATTTTGTCCGGAGCATATCTCCTACATGTATGGAGGGATTTTAATGAAACTTCATAGAAATGTTCAACACTATGAGGAGCAGTGTCGCGCACATGAACCAGGTCTCCAGGTCAAAGGTCAAGGTCACACTTAGAGCTCATTGAAAAACGCTTGTCCGGAGCAAAACTTCCACATGCATAGAGGGATTTCAATATAACTTGGCACAAATGTTCACCATTGTGAGGCGGAGTGTCGCGCGCAAGATTCAGGTCCTTGCGGCCAAGGTCAATGTCACACATAGACCATTTAGTCATCATTTATTGAGGGATTATAACACAAATGGTCATTATCAAGACTATGGCTGTGATACATATAATTTAGGTCAATATATTCAAGGTCAAGGTCACTAAAGATGATGAAATATCCAGATTTTGTCCGGAGCATATCTCCTACACGCATAGAGGGATTTTTATGAAATTTCATAGAAATGTTTACCATTATGGGAAGCCATGTAACGCACATGAACTAGGTCTCTAGGTCAAAGGTCAATGTCACACTTAGAGCTCATTGAAAAACGCTTGTCCGGAGCAAAACTTCCACATGCATAGAGGGATTTCAATATAACTTGGCACAAATGTTCACCATTGTAAGGCGGAGTGTCGCGCACAAAATCCAGGTCCCTGCAGCCAAGGTCAAGGTCACACATAGAGGTCAAAGTTTAGATAAAAATATGAAGATGTGTATAGGGACGATTAATCATCATTTATTCAGGGATTGTAACACAAATGGTCATTATTATGACTACGGCTGTGACACATGTACTTTAGGTCAATATATGCAAGGTCAAGGTCACTAAAGATGGTGAAATATCCAGATTTTGTCTGGAGCATATCTCCTACATGTATGGAAGAATTTTTATAATACTTTATGGAAATGTTTACCACCATGATATGTATTGCTCCATGCATGATCCAGGTCTCCAGGTCAAAGGTCAAGGTCACACTCAGAGCTCATTGAAAAACGCTTGTCCGGAGCAAAACTTCTACATTCATAGGAGGATTTCAATATTACTTGGCACAAATGTTCACCATTGTGAGGCTGAGTGTCGCACGCAAAATTCAGATCCCTGCGACCAAAGTCAAGGTTACACATAGAGGTCAAAGTTCAGATAAAAAATTGAAGATGTGTATAGGGACCATTTAGTCATCATTTATTGATGGATTGTAGCACAAATGGTAACTATCATGACTACAGGTGTGACACATTTAATTTAGGTTAATATTTGCAAGGTCAAGGTCACTGGAGATGATTAAATATCCAGATGTTGTCCGGAGCATATTTTCTATATGCATGGAGGAATTTTAATGTTACTTTATAGAATTGTTCACCACCATGAGACGTAGTGACCTGCACATATACCAAGTCTCTAGGTCAAAGGTGAAGGTCACAGTTAGAGCTCATAGAAAAACGCTTGTCTGGAGCAAAACTTCTACATGCATAGAGGGATTTCAATATAATTTGGCACAAATGTTCATCATTGTGAGGCTGAGTGCCTTGCATAAAATTCAGGTCCCTGCGACCAAGGTCAAGGTCACACATCTTGTGCATATCTTCCCTACTGATTTGTTTTAAGGTTCATTTAACAACAGAGTGCCAAGAATAAAAACTTGCTTGCTAGATAACACTTATCCATAATGCCCCCATCACCATCTAAAGCTTTAGTAAACGGGCGTATTTTGTGACTATGGCACCTTTGTTACTTTTTATTTAGGAATTTTTAGCATTAGTTCTTAACCAGGGCATTATTTACAACCTCAAATGTAAATACAGTGAGCGTATTGTGAAACATACATTGTATTTATCATGTAAGCACATTTTAAACAACTCTACAACAATGACATCAATCAGTGCACGACAAAGTCTGTGTTGCGGAGGTGCAAATATCTTGACAAACAATGTATAAAATTGTATCAGAAATAACGACATTACAACCGTAATGGAACACTTCTTTTTATTTGACATCAATTAATTGACAAATAGAAACTGGTACAAATTTTAAGTTTGTTTACATCTAAAAAAAAATACTCTCCATTTCTATTGGTAATTCCATAAGGAGCAGGCATCAACGGGCTTGTAACCATAGAATACGCCTTTGCAGCATAGAGATATGTTTCACCAGCTGTAATTATTCCCTGCGGTCTGGAGACCGCAGGGTATTGGTACGCGTTTAACTTTTGAGGCATGGAGGAGCACGTGACATGTTTTCGGTACATGGAGGAGCATGTGATCTGTAAACCGTACATGATTGGTTAATTGACCTTTTCAAAAACCTGGCTAAATACCGTTTGCCGGTACGTTACGTTTTTTCCTCTAGGGAATTAGTCAGAATTACACTTATTAAGAACAAAAAAACTATTACGTGATATTTCTAATTTTCTATCATTATTTTACCGTTTAAGGTGGAAAACTTAAATGATGTGTTTGAAAATTATTAATTTTTCTTTAACATGTTTAATATGTATCTCAAATTTTACATACAATAAATTGTTTATACTGAAAATCTACAAAATTAAAATATTCGTAGTGGCATCTGCCATAATAAATATAGATATTTTCTGCGTAAACTTGTACGTGTGTTTACTTTATTTATTTATTTTAATTGCTCGGAATTATTCATAAGATAGAAGGCCTATTTAATCATTTTCTTTAAAAGAAATAATTATTTTATGTTCGACCTTCTCCGGTCATCAACGGTCACCATTTTCCAAAGACCTTCTTCTATATTGATCGATTATTGTCAACTATATTCCTGATACAAACGTTTATTTATCCCCCCCCCCCCCCCAAAAAAAAACAATGTTGAAAATAGTTAAATGAAATATCTTTATATCATTACAAATGTTCCCCGCAGGAAACCAATTTTACTTGTACAATGCTTTCGAAAGTCCAGATTCATCGCAGAAGAGGAAGCCATGGGCGATGATGACGACATGCTCTTCGCAAAATTGCCGGAATTAACAAACACAGTCACTTCAATGAATGATACTCTTCCTGCTGAGGAAAAAAAATGTTATTATCACAGAGGTGTTAGATAGATGTCAATCATGTACAGACAAGAGCAATTTAGATGATCTGCAGATAGTTTCAAAAAACAGAAGCGTTTGATTATTTGATAAGATTGTATACTTCTAGTCTAATGCACATGAAAAAGAACCAGTTTTTAAACGTTTATTGGATATTGAATTTTACTTGAAAACTTGTAAACATTCGCAAACTAAGATAAGCCACTTCTTCAAAGCAAAATAACGCTTTATTGTCAATAAACAACTATATTGTATGTATCGTATTACTATTTATAGATATGTTTATAGATATAAATTGTATTTTAATTTTTTTTACCCAAATGAGTTATTTTCTTTATCAAATGCTCTCCAAAATGGAGGAAATTGGCAAATAATCTGTTCGCTATAAAAACTTCTAAAACCAAGAACTAGTTCGCTATACGCTTGTTTTACGCTTACAGGGAAGTTAACATTGCACAAACGGTTCAATACTTTTCTCAAAGTCTTGCTCCTATTTTGCTTTTAAATAAGGTATTGTTTACAAGTAATACATTATTTTTAGGTGGTATGACAAAGTTAAGGGATTTTAAGCTTTTTTTATTTTCTGTCAGGGGTATTTTGAGAATGATTAACAGTGTGCAATTATCATTACTAGTGAGTTATATCTTTTTCATCATCTGCCACCTTTGCAATTTTTTCGTTGTCATAATTCCAAAGGAAATTCAAAGTTTGTTGTGGGCAAAGAAAATTACTGATAGCAAGTGAAATATGTTTGTTAAATGGATGCATACAGCTCCGACTTCTTCCGTCCGTTATTTAATCTGGAGACTTTCTTCGCAAGTTATTTTCTGCGGAATATTGCTTTTTATAAACAATTAAATTTCATTACTTATTATAATGTTAATTACAGAAAACCAAGTATTTATAAAGGAGCTTCAAGATAGAAATGTCTACATTATGGATTCGGCTGTTCTTACATGTAAACTCAAAATTCCCGCGCATAAAAATGTCATTTGGTTGAAAGATTCCAAGCCGGTCGACACAACAGATAATTTGATGTTATTTAGCAACAACTGTACAAACTGGTTAGCGATTGAACACACGACAATGGATGATACGGGCCGATATGCGTGTCAATGTGGCAGTATCTCAACGTCAGCCGAACTTACTGTTATAGGTAAAGTTTTAGAAATAATTCATGTAATGATATATGTATCTGCGTACAAAATAAGAAAGAAAAAACTGAATAACCTTACAACATTTCAAACCTTTTCCATCTTCGAAAATTTTAAGTTTAAAATTACCCAGTTTCTGTTATCATTATCCTTATTATACACACGGAAGACATTCGATGTAAAATTTTATGCCTTTCGTGAGTCCGCCCGTAAACAAAATTGTGCCAACCTGTATCATTTTAAATGAAAGAAGGAACTGTAAATTATACAAAGTTGAATCCCTTAAGAAAATCCAAAAAAGCAACAATTAAAATGTAAAAATCTCAGTTTGAATGAGCCTGTTCAATGTCGGTACTTTTAAGTTACAGCCGTTCACGCCCTCTATTCGCAGAAATGCAGAAATGTAAACAATTATGAGACGTTGCTCAGAGCAATTGTTAGCATCGTTGCCAATAACACAAAAACGTAGTATTGTACTTGCGTGCAACATGACATTATGGTATTGTTCGAAATGTAAATGAAATATAATCCTATATATATATATATATATATATATATATGTGTGTGTGTATATATATATATATATGTCCATCCCTAGATAAATATGGTAAAGCACATATTATTTTCAAGCTGCGAATGTTCAGAACTTGCCCTTTATCTTGAAGACCAATTAAACGTTAAATTTGAAGCATATACCAAGGGTAAAATTATGTTCGCAACTTTGAATGACTCAAATACATATGTTTTCTGGCGATTATTGCCCCCAACCAACCTTGTGGTTGTTTTGTTATTACTGTGAGCATTTGGACTACAATAAATTTGAGATGGCACATCTAATTAGCTTTATTATGAATTACATTTGAAACGGTTTCTGTTACCATATAAAATTTAATGATTACAAATACGATAATAAATTTCACTTTCATCAATTGTCATTTTATTTATTGTCTCGTCATCATTTTACTTGATTTGAAAAAACGCTGAATCTGGATGATAACAAATAATTGTGCTTTCAATAAGAAAAATGATTAAATTATCAAACTGAATATAAAATTGTTTACAACGTTGATCTGTGTATGATATTGGAACCAATTTGAAAACAAATTTATAATAGTTTTCTCTAAAGTTTGTCTTCCATTTTACAACAGATGAAAAGTTGATTGTTGTCGTTGATTTGCCCATCAAATTAGAAGTTGTAGAGAGAAAAAACATTAAAATGGAGTGTAAAGTGAACTTGCTTACTGGCAAACCTGTTTGGCGACACAATGAGAAAGTATTACATTCGTCCGATAAATACAGTATACTGCAAAATGGAAAACTACACACTCTAACGGTAACTGACGCAACATTTCAAGATGAGGGTGATTACACAGCTGACTTCGGAAAAGTATATACCAAAACTACAGTTCATGTTCAAGGTCATTTTAATATCAATAAACATACATGAGTGTTTTGTAAAAATAGAATGAAATAAAAATATCTTTGGTTTAAATAATATATATCATTTCAATCAAATATATATATATTTATTTATTTAAGACTATCTGCAAATATGGTTGAAAGCAATGGTTAATTATTTTTATTTTCATATGGTGATCCTTATTAGTTCATATATTCATCAAGTCTTTTTCATTACCTTGTGTCTTATAACAAAGGTACTTTGTAACTCAATTTTGTTTTATTTCATTTAGGAAAAAACGACTGTGAATGTATAGAGATTAGACGATGATACATATTTCTTATTATCCTATCATGTTATTGTAGATAAACTCTTTATTCTAAAACATTTTAGGTAATACAGATCTATTACACAAAAAACAATTAATAGGCGTTTTGTACAGAAATTGGGTAAGAGGGGCTCTAGCACTGAAGTATCTCAAAATAGGTTTAGAGGCATTTTCCGACAATGCTATAAGGAGTCATTCCTTTGATATTATGGCAACACTTGGGTACAAATGCAATACTTGTACAGAGGAAAGTCTTATTCCTCACATAGAAAAACAATGTCCACGCCAAAAGAAAAGACAATGCCTTTGTTCAAAGAATAAGAAACAAAAATCGAGGCAGGTGTGTCCGAATGGAGGATTTTGTGGCAAAGTTTATGATCGAATTGTTTTAGATCATCGTTTCCAAGATCCATTATTGGCGAATACGGATATTCAGAAGTGGAGCAGTGATCCATGGAGTCTTGCTACATGCTTTATAAATACGTCTGGCTACATAGGCAAACAGTCGGCTAAAGAGGTTGACTGTATTGGTTTACTAAGTTTGTGTATAAACAACATTTTTATAGAACAGATGCTTGGAGAAGTTTCCATAAATGGCACGTCAGATGCGTTTTCTATGGTAAATAGACCGAATGAAGAAATAATAAAATAAGTAAAAGTGTTTATTTATCTTTTTAAAGTAAATTGAAAAAAAAGAAATTTGCTAATGTACAACAATTTATATTTTTAAGTAAACAAGGGGCTGAAGTTTGGAAATATTATGTTAACTTAATAAGTTGCATTCTTTTAAACACAGATTTTGTCCACAGAACGGAACATGAATCAAATAACATTGTCTTTTTTAATTTATTGATCTACATTTGTACTAAAATATAGATCAATGGCCATAATATCTCTTAATCTTGTAGAAAAGTTCCAACAGTGCAAATAAGACAATAAAACGAATTCACCCTTTTTTCGTAACATATAATTTAATTCAATAACACATTTGGATTAGCCTCATTGAGGATATGTTTAAATCATGTATCCGCTTAATAAACACAAAGCTGTGGATAGCTTTAGTTATAATTAGAATAAACAGTATTTAAAGAAACGTAGCAAATGACAGTAAACGTAAAACTTGTTATTGTTATAGGCACGTGATGCACGAAATGATATTCTTCACAACCCAAATTATGAGTTGTCCGAAGATCAACTTTACAAGTATGTTAAGCTGTTCAAGGAGGTACTGGAAATAAAGAACAGACATGGAAATACACCTTTGAAAGAGGAACCTGGCGTTGAAGATGCATTATATTTACTGGATAAGGTAAGTTGATATGTTATAGTTAAAAAAAAGAGTTCTATAGAGATGAATTTTATTTATATCGTGTTCTTCACAGATTAATGTATACACGTTGTTTGTTTTGTTTGTGTATTTGTTATGATTAAATCTATTAGGTTTTTTATCGTGAGCTTAAAAACAATTCTATTTCATACAGAATTTATACAAACGCTTTTTTTTTCCTTTTTTTTGAGTTTATATGGCTTTTCGTAATATATACCGACCAAAACAAAATTCCCTTTATTTAAGTGCAGATATACACAAATGAGAAAATCAGGATTATAGTAGATTTATATGTATTGAAAGAGTATTTGATTGCATTTTTTTTTGGTAAAAAAAATTATTGCTAAGGGTTTACTAAAAATAATGAAATCATGCTATTAAGAATGCAGAAGGGGTCGCCCACCAAAATCCATAATTAATATTGAATATTACCACCTATAGCATGATGAAGGACTGCCTGCCATCGTTGATACATAGAACAAATCAGTGTATTGATTTTGTCTTGTGGAATGTTGTTCGATTCCTGAACTAAGGCTTGTCTTAGCTGAATAACGTTTGACGCTGAAATAGGCCGTCTAACACGATGGTCCAAATTATCACAAAGGTTTTTAGTGGGATTAAGATCAGGGCATTTGACAGGCAAGCAATTAATAAATGCAATGTTATTCGCCCTGAGGACATTCACAGTAGTTTGCTGTATGGCTTCTGGCATTATTTAAAAGAGTGTGATATAAATTGGCATTATTTAGAAAAAGGGTAACATGCCTGGCAAGAATTCCATCTCTGTAGCGTTTGGCATTCAAATTATGTGCAAAAGTCATGTACAATAACTGCAAAGACCAAGACAGAGCCCAAACCCCTTAAACGACCTCGTTTAAGTATGCGGCAGTCGACAAAACGTTCATTTCCCCAACGGTATACCCGAACTTACCATCAGCGCGATGGATGGAAAAAGAACGCTACTCCATTGTTGTTTAAGCAGCGTTGGAGTGTACGTGCCCAAATAATACGATTTACGCGGTAACGTCGCTTCAAAACGCAACCAATATATATTCGACGTTCATGTAGCCCACCCTCGAGCACTGCGCACAGTTTGGGCAGGTTTCGATTTTTATGTGTACCAGGGGTGTTCATAGCAGAAGCTGTGACAGTTAAGAAGCGATTGCACAGGTGGTCATTCTGTATATAGCGGTCTTTGGAACGCGTCGTGACGTGTGTATGTCTAATACATAGTCAATCTTCAGAACGCCCTGTTGTTTCAAAACATTACCTTAGGTGTGGACTAGCATGAATAGAACATCCAAAATTCATAGCAAAGGCATTCCTCGCCATACCAGCATCAAGCATGCCAATGACACTTTTCGTAACTTTTAGAAATATACAGTACGCATATCAAAAATAAAAAAAAAATATAAAAAAATATAAAATTCTAACGTCTTTCTCTGATTGACATGAACGTCTACATAATTACATTACACGGTAAATAAAATATACACGATTTTTTCGGGTCCATGCTTGCAATTGAAAATCACTTTCAGTGGGTTTCTGGTGCAAAACGAGTTGAAATCGAGATAAAATTTGTTTTATCGGAAACTTAATCGTTCGCCTAATTATATGTTGCTCATTTGACATTTTGATTTTTCAAATAACATTATATCTCCACTTAAACCCAGGGGAAGTTTCCTTTTCGTTCAGTATATGAGATACGGCTTGTGAAAAAAAGGTAGACAAATAAATATGAGATGATGATGATAATGTTCAGTTTAAACAGAAATCCTTAATATATTTATTTGCTTGATGAAAAGTTAGCAATGTGTAAACACAAATTAAGCTTAAAAGATGATAATTATCGTTATTTCGAGATCTCTTTATCTATTTCCATCTACGCAGAAAGTAACTCATCGTCATGTTTTGCGGAATACTTTTCAGTTAAAGTAAAGTTCAACGCATTGCGTTTTGTTACTAAATAAATTCATAAGAATTTACAAGTTAAAATGGCGGAGACGAAGAGCGAAAACACCCTAATTAGCGAGTGCACGGGGCGAAGTAGTAGGCTCGTGGAAGCGCGTAGCGAGATTTAAGGAAAAAACGGCGGGGCGGGGAGCGAAAACATGCTAAATAGCGGGAGCGCGGGGCGAAGTTTAATAAATAAAACCTCATCCCCGCTAGTAAGCATGTTTTCGCCCGTGGCTCCGCATCACGAAAAGTCCAGAAATGGCGGGGGCGCAAAGCAAAAACACGCCAAGTAGCAAGGGCACCAATTAGCATCTTTTCGCTCTGCGCCGCCGACGTTTTAATATTTAAAAGTCGCTCCGCGCCCCTGTCGGGCGACGTTTTTTTAAATTTAAATTTCCCGCCCCGACCCCGCTTACTTTTTCAAAAAATGAGCCAAAACTGCACTTTGTTTAGGGTTAAAATAAAATGATCTAAAAAGGAAATTCTCACATTATGAACTTTTCGTTGGGCCCGGGCCAAAGAGGGGCCAAATTAAAAAATTAACTATTTTTAAAACTTTGGTTAACAGTTTTCTGTCAAATATGTTGAGTTTTGCGAATTTTTCCGCTTGAGCCCAGTCACGACCTTTAAAAAACGACCTTTTAAAACAATTGTAGAAATCAAAAGAGAATTCTCGCATGGTTTACTCTACATATTTGATAAAAATATAAAGACTGGTCAGATTTCAACGACTTCTTGATCTAAATTTAATGTTTCAATTATGACAGAGTCAATGGTAAAGGTTGCAAAAAAACAACATAAAACGACATGTTCAATTATTAAGACGGTTGTGCAAGATTGTAACTTGATCTTACTCTCTTTCTAGTTCTAACATAAATTTCTTACAGGTGAGACAAAATCAGATCGAAATAAACCTTGAACATGAGATAAAGCAGCTAAAAGAACATGGAATGCATTTATTAAATGAGACATGTCAGAAAGCAAAAGCACAGGCAAGTTTTCGAATAAATTCAATTGTATTTTTCAATTGCTACTTACGCCAATAATTGTAGATTTCTTTGAAAAGTTTTTGGGAAAACAATGTAATAAAATGTTTTCGTCTTTTTGTTTTATTTTTTGGTTCGTATGAAGCCCTTTGGTGTGGGGTGTAAAATAACTTTTTTTTAAGGCCCAATTTTTAACAGAAAAAAATAAAATTTGTTTCTGGCATTATCCTCCTTCTATGTGACCTGTGTGTTAATTTATATCAAGCGCATTCGAATAAACGTAAAATGTTGGGGTTTTTTTTCAGCATGAACTGAAACTTCAAAAGATAGAAAAACAGATAAAAGGTTTGTTTTGAAGAGTTTGTATCTAAATAAGTAGAGACAACTTATCGAGAATAAAATATGCTTGAAGTTTGCAAATGTAAACTTTGATTAACATAATCCTATCTTTTCAAAGCATAAATTTGAATTTACAAATAAGAATATATCAATTAAGTACAGTACTTAAATCGTGTAAAAATTTGTTTGTGAATTGTTTGGGCAATTGTGCGAGTATGTAGGCTGGGTCTATTTTCGGCTGACTTAAATTGTGAGAACATATATTAAAATTTTAAAACTTTTTAAAAGTATACTGTTTGTAAAGATAGATATTGATCAATTCTATATAAAATATTAATATGCATGAAAATTGTATATATCTATTCAATGTATTTGATCTGAATTCCGATCAATTTTCACTGACCTAATTTTCTCCACCATTTTTAATGCGATTTTTTTCATTACTACATACGACAATGCCAATTTCTTAGGTATAGGCATGTATTACCTTTTATGATCTATAACAATATATGTTGATTATTTATACTTTTACTATAATGCATTGTTTCGTAAAATGTATATAGCAAAGGTTCTTCTTAATTTTGTTCACATACAATACAATTTAAAGATTTAGAATAGTATAATTATGTAATAACATTAAAAAGTCTGTCATGATAACCAACCTTTAATGAATTAAGTAATACTTTGAAATATATCTATTACTTTGAATCTGTGTGTGCATGTGCTTTGTTTCATTTACAGAAGAACAAGCGGTATCTAATTCAAACCAGGGCTTGCAAAGACATAGTTCAACACCCGATTTTGCGGCAATGCATTTCAGTTCAACTTCTGTTGAGAATCAGGAACATGTAAAGTATTTAGAAGGACGTGTTAAAAATCTAGAAGAAGAATTGCATAAACTCAAAACTCTGCAAAGTGAACCATCAGAAATTCAAGCTGCGCCTAATGTTAACCATGAAACTCCAAGACAGCTTTCAATTTCTGACACAAATGTGTTGACTGAAGAACTAGGAGACAACATGAATGTTCAAAAATATTTTCCTGAACTTGCTAGATCTATTGACACATTGCCTCTCTGTGATCACTTATATTCTAAAGGTATCATTACATTAGGTCAAATGGATACAATTCAAGCTCTCGTGAGACGTAAAAATCAAAGTGCCGCCAACAATGAATTATTAAAGATCCTGAAAACAAGGAGTCCAGAAAAGCCTGTAATGATTGAAATATTGGATGCTACTCAGCAACAAAATTTGCTGAAATGGTTTTACCCCCGACCGTAATATCTTCATAATTATAAAATGTTTAAAATAGAACGTTACACACTGTACATATGCATGGAATTGAAATAAAAGTTGACTATTATTAGTTTGTTCTATTCTAAAAAGCGTTGAGAAAGATGTGTTTCATACCGTTAAACGTTGCTTTGCTGCTGCATCATTTTAACTATAATGCACACGTGCATATTCTTAATGAATGATTATGATGAATTAAACTCGACTGGAAGGTAACCAGATGGGTGTCGTTCGGATATAGATAATCTATAATTGGTCAGATTGCGTTTTTCCTAAATGCATGAGTTTTCTTTGTCAATGAAAAATACAATTTTATTCTAATTTGCATATTGCAAATTTGTTCTTTGTCTTTCTGTCTATCAAAGCAATTGGATCGAGGTGATGAACCCAGAGCAAGTGGAACTAGTAATTATATAACCCAATGCCATTATAAAATGTATGTTTATCTGAAATAATGATTAAAAAATTGATTGAATATAAGAGTTAATGTTTATTTGAAAAGTTAATCGGTATAATAACCAACTATTTAAAGTAAGCAAACGTACATATTAAACATAATAAGAAGATTATCAAAAGAATGCCATTCTGAAACCATTTTAATTATAATCTATACATCTAGACATGAAACTGATAGGTAAACTGAAACAAAAAAGGGGAAAATAGTTAAAATGATATCAAAGGGGCTAGTAATTAGTTTTACAGTCAAGAGCAATAACTCAAAAAAATTTAACATGTAAGTATTGCTTCGGTTACGTCCCCTGCCATTACATAATAGAAATAAATGTAACGAATGAATGTTGTGTAGTGTAAATCAAAATTGAGATTTTGCAAACTTAGATGTAATCAATTAAAACAAAACATCGGAAAACGCATACTTTTACAACTTTCTGTTGATTTAAGCTTAATATTTTAGTTTACTTAATAAATAAAGGTACAACTGATCTTATCAGGAAATAATCTAGTGATTATTAAGGACTACAAACAACTTAAATCAATAAACCAGCTTATTTTCGGAACGTTGATGGTTCTACTAAGATGCCCGCTTGTGCCTGAAATGAAACACGGAGGAACACTTGATAAAGTCCTACACCAGTAAAGCGCCGAATAACCTAAATATACTGTGTTCGTGCGACATACACCAACCTCCAAAAATTGTTAAGTTTATCTAATGATCTTATTCATAATTTTCAAAGCCATTTGAAATTTCATGACGCAATAAAATTGCATTGTCTCTAATAAGGTTAAAAACGTAAAAGATATTTATAGCAATGGGGTATTTTTTATCAAATTTGATATCCACAACGTGAACCAACAGAGAAACAATATGCCAATCGGTCTGATAAATGATTTTGTTACTTTTGATCACGATTAAAGTCTTTCATACGTTAAAGACAACGCGTCCCAATTTTTTTAAGAAAACTTTGTTCTAGATAGTACAATGCTGTCAAATTTACAGATTGTTGGATTTAATATACCATTCAACAATTACCATCAACAAAAAAGTACCTATAATTTTAATTGTTTAGACAAATGAATAAAATACGTAATTAAGTAAAATAGAAAATTTTGTTTTATCAGAGCAGCGTTTTTGTTGTTGTTGTTTTTTTTTCAATAATTTATATGCGTTTCTTGATAAACTTCGCTCTTAAAGAAGCACGCCTCCAGATTAATGCTAATTTTATGAAAATTTGAAAATGTATTTTCCAGTGTAAAAGTGTGAAGTTACCAAAAGAATGGAATTTACACATTATCAATGGCACTTAAAACCCAAGTAAATTACGATTCAGAGGTCAAATTGTGTAAAAAAAAGGCCTTTACTGCGATAGTCACGCAGAAGAAATATAGTGATAAATACTAAAAATCGGTCATTAATCGAATATATAACATGTTAATAATTACTACAATTTTGAATCTTTATACTTTTCCTACATCTTGGTATACATTTTTCTCATGTTTGATTTTATCGAAATATTTTGCTCATATTGATACACTTTGCTCATATTAAAAAGAGAGTTACTCTTAAGCAAATTTTGATAGTTATTAAACGCACAATTAAAGGTATATGGACGTTAACCATTAATAAAGACTTTGTGTAACCCTGTTTGTTAATTTTATATGATAGCTTTTCATACTACACTTGTCCATTGAATCGGAATTGGTAATAATCGTTTGTTGTTGTTTTTTTTTCATTTACCTCAAGCTCGAAATGGGTACATACGTTTACTGTGCAAAGTGAACTGCACAAACTACGAAAAAGGAAGTTTTAAACCAGATATAACATATATTACAATAAGAATAAATCATTACTGTAGTTTGTTCTATGACGCATTTATAAAGAACATTGAATAATCAGTTACAATTGCTAACAAACATATTAAGGCATTTTGGGTTTGCAATATACAGGAACAGTCATCAACCCACTAGACGAGAGAAAAAGCATAAACTTTACAAGCTTTCCTGTAAGAATTTGAAGATTTGGTAAACAGGTTAAAATGTCTAAACAAATAAAATTCAGTGGCGACTGAGAGAATAATATTGAATTATCAAATCATCAAACTGTCGCCACATGAATATCCGTTAATTCCGGTGGATTTGCATTGAGTGATATCACCTGGTGATAAGATTACATACAAAGTAGAAGGTAGCGGCCGCTGTGATGTTGGTTTGATAATGGGTAGTAAAGATCAATGTTACTTCAGTTACTCACACGAAATACGGGTTCGTCGAAAAACATGCCTTGGAAAAATTCATTTCTATGAAACTGGAAATCAGTTAATTATTCAGCATCTATTTTAAACGGTTAAACTGTTGTCTTTTTTTTCACCACAATGTTGGATCTTAACGTCTCATGATTCATTAGAAGTCGAATTTAAGATACATAATTAGGCTATCCAACTTATGTTTAGGACGCAAATTACACAAAACCTAACAAGTATGGATTTACGATATCAAGTTATTGGCAAGGTTATATCTAACAAAATTTTATGTCACATATCTTTTAAATAACCACCAACTCATAAAATACTTTCATAACTCTTTTTAAACAATTTAGGATACACATTTAGATTTAATATTTTTGTCAGGAAGAAAAAAAAAAACAATTACTAACGGAAAAGCTGACGAAAATTTAGATTGTCGCTTGCATCCAATACGGTCACCTGTGAGTTGAACTTATGTCACAAAGTAAAAAAAATGATAAACAAGATCGACAAGGAAAGGCGGCGTTCAATGAACGCAGCCCCCACCTGACCCAGTAACAAGCGTCAGTGGCAAGGAGCCCAGGAGGACCCCAAACAAAAATAGGACAGGGCATAAGGCAGAGCACGGGCAGACAAACCACTACATAAGAATAAATAATTAGTAACTGATAAGGAACTAAAAGAAAACAAATAAATGATTGAATATTGGGCCCATAAAGTCCAAAGGCACAGGGGGGAGGACATAAGAGCCGGGGAAGGGGGATAAATAAAATAAATAAAAACTAGGGGCAAAGGGGAAGATACTTACCGTAGAGACGAGAAATAACAGAGACATGAGGAAAAAAT